AACTGTATAAAAGCATCTGTGTGAGACAAAATCTGCCAAACACTCCGACGGAACACCTGCCGTGTTTCTGTAATTGAAGGCTCTTTAGTGGTAAAAATTAGCACTCCTCTCCACAAGAGGCTTTCTCTTAGCTCCTCACTGAGCTTTAACTGAGTAAGAGCTGGGGACAGAAGTCACAGCCGATTACAGAACACAGCCTGGGGTGGCAAGGAACACGGGGACTGAAGCCTATGTCCTAATTTTGAACCTCGAGTGCAAAAGTGCAAGGCGTCTATAACAAGCTGCTGTGGCCGCCACTGCTGCTGCTGCTGCTGAAAACAATCAACCACAACAAAAGTCAGCATTTCACAAATGCAAAACAGATCTGTCCATGTCTCTAACAAACATCTTGGCAAATATTTATTCAGAAAAACTTTTTCTTTAACATTGCAGTTTAATACTTTACTTCACCTCAGGGCCAGCGGTTCACACACAAACGATGTGAGAACCACTTGCAGGCCTGTGAACGTGCTAATTATCTCAATACAAATTGAAACAGAGATTTGCAGTATCAGTGGTGTGTGGGCTGTGGACTGACATTACCATTCTGAGAAACATAAGATGAAATCTTCATTAGTTTCTCATGTATGAGCCAGATAAAATCAGAGAGAGCATCAATGGAAAAACAAAACGGTGTATGTGCTGAAGATTTACTGCTGAGGCTTTTCTCTGTCCACGTTTCTGCTTTCTTCCTACAGACTGCTCTAGGTGAAAGAGACGTGACCTACTCCGAGAGAAGGTCCAGAGCAAAGTTCCCGTGTAAATTATACAATTCTTCCTGTCTCTACTGTGTTATTACTATTACTACCTCTACTTCAGGCACAGTAAGAAGCTCTCTATCCCCTGACAATGTTCCATCTCTTGAGACAATAAAAATAATAGTTATTGAACCGTTTCATTTTAATGAGATATTTACGAAAAATGAGCAAATAGCTCATAAAAAATCTTTCTAATTTAGCCCTCGGTGAAGTATTTCTAGTTGATATTGATATTGTTGATCACAACTGGGTATCAGTTTTTACAGAGTAGCTGATGCTGCAACTTTACTGAATCACTTCAACAGATTGGATGGATGGATGGATGGATGGATGGATGGATGGATGGATAGATTATACGTTTCTTTCAGCCAGTCTTTCGTCCAGTAAAAACAGATCCACTTTTTAAAAAACTGACACATGACCCTCACTGCAGCAACCAATTATCCGTGCTAACCGTGGCTGTAAGCTAATCTAGTCAGTCTGTCACTGGGGCTCAGTGGTCAGCTCTGTTTGTTTGGGAATGTAAATTTCACAGCGGATGAAATCATGTACTGGTTGGAAAGTTTGGAAAATGTGTGAAAAGTCTGAGGTGTTACTCCTCCCCCTGTGCGTCTCAGACACACACCTCCACCTCAGGTTTTCCATCAGGCTGCAAATATCTTGATTCGATGGAGCAGCAACTTAAGTGCACAATATTTCACGGCTCTGCTGAAATATTCTCCAACCAGGATTGGGCTGTTGTGGGTTTTGTTTTGTTTTTTTAAATGTGTGTTATGTAGATGTGAGTTCCAAAGTCAGCGGGGATCTGTCCGCACTTCACTGTTAAATGTGTGAAGAGGAAGAGTCAACACTACTCAGTGATTTATGTTGCCTGAATATGTACTTAATACGCTGACATTTTAAAGTAACATTTGTTTGTAATTAGTGATTTGCAAGTAAAAATGTCAATATAAGGATGAATTTAATTTTTACATCAGACCTTCCGGGCAAAACAACAACAACAACAACAAATCCATTTTACCACTAAGGTTTTTCTGGTTCTATTTTCTTGTTTTAAATCCATTCATTTTTTCCGCACAGACTTTCTGAAATGTCACTGTTTATTTTACATTCCATCTCAAGGCTACTTTTTATTACTTTTACTGTTAAGGTGGATTTTTTTTTCCTCTTCACTATTACTTTTCTTCGAAGGACAGAGAACTACGTAACCACCGTTGTTGTCACTGTATCAGTCAGACGTTGTGTTTCCGTACGTTGATTTTTTTCACACCGACTGAAGGTCAGAACAGCAGTGGCACAAGCCTTTAAACAAACCCTTGTATCCTTCACTTTCAAAACACACACACGAGTCAACTGTAACGTTGGCTTTACTGACTGTCAGCACACCTACTTCCCATATTTCATGTGAACAAACGCTGCCACGGAACCACCCGTCATTGATCAAACAGCAGGAGAACAAAGAAAAATAAAACGTTTCAGCAGCTGCATTATGTGGCAAGCCCCTGTGAAGTTCTCCAAATGTTGGTCCATGACCCTGTCCCAATGTGGGTCAGCGGTTTACAGCGCAGGCCACCGGTGAGGACGCGTGACACAGCTGCTGGTTGCTGTAATCGTCGTGTTTCTGCCCGTTCTATTCGTGCGGTTTTGGCAAAGAGAGGTCACAGCTGATAAATGTGGGAGTGAAACGGTGACAAGCAGCGGACGTGCTGTCGCTGAGGCTGTGTGAGAATGAGTGTCTCGGGTTTTTTTTTTTTTTTTCAGGTTTTTTTCTACATCAGCATGTGTGTGGGAAGCGCTCAGGCGGCTGCTGCTGTAAACACTCATTCATGAGGCGTGTTAGACTTGTGAGCCGTGTCTGCTGTGAAGCAGCGGAGAGCCTGAGAGAACATGGTTACCAACCTACACTCTGCTGCTTCTGTGGCTCTCACGTCTAAAGATGGGGGCGGGGGGGGGGTTTGTCAAGTTGCCCACAAACATCCACCAACATCTGGCTTCCGTCTGTGGTCAGAATGTAAGGTCTTTATGCAGCTGTCTTTATCATCTGTGTCTTTGGTAGACAGTAATGATACAGGGCTTCCAGGTAATCCTGATAAAAATCTCCTCTTCATCTCCATCTTCATCCCAGAGGCCTGGATTTTGCAGGTTTACGCAATAAGGTCAAGCAGGTTTTTGTGTCTTTTACTTGGTAATTGACTGATATCAGGGTCAGACAAAGCGTTTTTTCTTCTGGGTTTTTAAATGTCGATCAGTAAAGAAGGGCTGTGACTGAGGCAAACTGCAAAGCTTCTAGTTTCAAATTGCTGCAATGATAATATACAGACACTGGGATAAAGTGAACATTCATGTCAACTCTCATTATAACAGAATTAAACTTTTTAAAAAATAACTACATATAACAGATAAAAAAT